AGCGCTGAGGCATTCGTCTCCATCTCATCATCGAAACCTAGTAGGATATTGAACCAGTTTGTCGGGTCCTCCGATCCTTTGCCAAAGGTGACATTCAGTTCGGGTCCATCAGATTTGCCCCTCGCTATTTTTTCTTTTTTTTCTTAGGTCTGTTGGTTGGTGATGTTGCCTCTGGCCTCAGTTGGGATCGAAGAAAAGATGTAAGTGAGCGAGATCGCTGCGACCGCATCTGTACCTTAGATGGGCCAACCTTTGGAGGGTTTTCTCCTGAAGAGGAAGGTGTTTTTGATGGTGGTGCTGGTTTTGATGGTGGTACTGATTTCGATGAAGATGCTTTTTTGATGGGTTGTTTTTCAGGACTTCCCATCCTTCTTTATTCACATGTTTTTCTTGTCGTATTTTCGTGTCATCATTTCCGTATTTCTTATCGGGCATTCCATTACCGTGGTGTAAATTATAATATTTACATTTGCATGGCATTGTCACTATTAGCCTCTTTTAAAGCTTTGTCGTTGATGGGACTTTAATTACCATGCATCACGAGACACAATTCTTAGCGTATTAATACAACACTGAACGGAACTACAATATCCAATATAAATAAACATGACGGCTGAAATATCGCTGGGCATTGTGAGATTTGACAATGCCATTGTAAATTTATGTGCAAAATAAAAAATAAAATAAAAAACACTTTTATTACAACGAAAACAAGACCAAGGACCATGCACATCGGTTGAAATCACCAATGCCGGCAATGGAAACAATTTTAACGCTCATGCAATTTATCAGAAATATCGTCTGTTACACTGCACTGATCAACAGGGGTTCGTTACAAAAGTCTGAAATACACATATTCTATAGACCTACTGACACAAATGTTACAGACCTACTGATATGAGTCACAGCATAAATAAACATTTCAGACATTTGTAACGAACCTGTGCTCCGTCACAAGATCACTCACTTCAAACGCTATCAGTTTCACGCGTCTCGCATCCACGGTTCCTCAGTTTCTGTCGACATGTCAAATAACGAGGATGTTATAGAATCTACCGACTGTTGTCATGTTCCAACACAATCAACAAATAAATTCACGCCTGAATTCTTCACAAAAAGAGCAAAGAGAAAAGTTCGAATTAACTTCCAAAATTAACTCCCTCCCTCGCTAAAACAGACTTACATGAAGTGTGTTGACAATCGAAAACTTAAATATCTTGATCTTGATCTTGATAGGTTTGTCCATGCGCGAAATTTGTTCCGAGGAAAAATCGAAACAATTTCAAATCTAACTTTCGGTTAGAGTTCTATTGATAAACTTAAATCACCCTATAGACATATCATACGCAATTGTATTTATACTGAATTGTGGAATAACATTGAAGTGTTTGTTAAAATTTCAAAATACTACTTTGTTTGCCAATTAGCACGCGACAAACACGATGTTCAAACTATTGAACGAAATTTTGAGGACTGTCGATAAGGCGGGCATTTTGAATTTTAAATATAAATTATAAGTTAAAAAAGAACATAAGAGGCAGAGAAAACGTAAATATAAGTATTGAATAGCGCGCATTATGTTGTTTGCTTGCAAAGCTGTGTCATTCAAATAGATCATAAATACCATACAAAAACAGTTCAATGCTTAAGTAACACCGGGTATACAATAGTACACGTGCGTGACGATGATATGTCAACATCCGACATCGAGACTTCACTTGGAAATGTGTAATCACATGTACTTCAGAAATAAAGCTTATGATACAAAGACATTAACTCACGGAAAACACCGACATACGATCAGAGGTTGTATATGAAGCGCATGGAATGCAGACTGATGTGTTTTGTTTACCGATCTCACCTGTACGTATAACGTGCTAATAGTAGTTCACAAGCTCTTGGTCGCTACGACTTTTGTTGTCGAGCGAGTTACGCTCTGTCAGATATATCGGTTCACAAATGCAATTACAATAACTCTTTGAAAATATCGGTTTGTAAAATATCAAGATCCCTATAAAATACTAGTGCATGTACGTGCACGTAATAATGGCATACCATGCGATAGCCTATGGTTACATATGTACCTGACATGTTAATATACCATGCGTAAGCAGGCTATTGAATGATGTCCAAAGTGTACATGATTGAGAGTAATTTTGTTCCATAAAAGAACAGTAAATTGACAACTCAATATAGTGATTTAATTTATTTCCGTTGTTTTTGGTAGAGTAAAGAAAATAAGTGTCAGTGTATAAATTCTATCCCTCTGCTAAAAGTTCCGATTTTTTTCAAGGTAGACAACTCTCATCAGGATCAAAATGTAAAATTGTAAAATGTAAAATAAATTAATTATAAAGACTTTGTGTGTATTTGGTTCAATTTTTCACTCTTTTTGTAAGAAACTATGTGTCCTGTTTGCTTTTAGCTTGTATTTAGTAACTTTTATCCATACAATTTCAATAAAAAACGCTTTTTGTAACATGTTGTAGATATTTTATGAGAAATAAAATATTTGTAGGGTTGATTAGCAATGTTTCTTTTCATTATTTTATTATTGTCATAGTTTTGAACAATGCCACACGCTCAAAAATGTTGAAGTGTTGGTCAGCTTATTGGGAAAGGGTGGAGCCTCCTTAATGTAAAATATTATTAACTTACTATTGAAATTTTAAAGCCAAATATGGTGACAATTCCATGCAACCATTTAGAAAGAGTAAATATGATTTTGAGGTGAAGGAGAAGATTTTAAAACGGCTTATAACCTCCATTTCCTAATATCGACCCAACCAACGTTTGCCCAATGGGAGTCGCACTCTTTATTTATACCTTTTATTGAGTCCACTTGGCAAAGGATGCTCCAAGCTGATTTTGGTTAAATCCTTTTATTGAGAAGTGTTTAAAACAATTTCTCCCAGTCACTCAATTCATTGATTCACCTATGCCCCAGCATGATTCAGACCAAATAAGGTTTCTTTTAGCTATTGGGCCCGAATCTGTCCTCCCAAAGGAAGTTTACACCTTTCCTTAAGGTTCCAATCCATTTATATACTCTGCTCTAGGACTAGATTCTACAGTTATACGCCTTATTTTACCTATTTGGCACCACCCGTCTGCCCACAAAAGCCACACCTTCCATTTATACAACAATGAGTCCCCTTTGCCAAGAATGCTACACGTTCAATTCCCTTTAGGGCAGGTGAGCTAAAATTCCTTAATCCCTATGGCTGAAGAAGGTTTTTGAAGGTTTTACCTCTATATCCAAATTCGGCACTGCCCCTCTGTCACAAGGCAACACCCATCGTGTACACAAAATTGAGTCCCCTTGGCCCAAGGTTGCTCCAGACTTAGTAAGAATAAAATCCCTTAAAACCTACGATAGAAGAAGGATTTTAAAGGTTTTACCTCTATTTCCCCTATTGGGCCCAAACCCTCTGCACCCAGAGGGGCCAGACTCACCGGTTATATAAAAATGGGTCCCCTTGGCCCAAGGATGCTCCAGACTAAATTAGGATAAAATCCTTTAATCCCTACGGTAGTAGAAGGATTTTGAAGGTTTTACCTCTATGTCCCAATTCAGCCCTGCCCCTCTGCCCCAAGGGGGGCAACACCCACCATTTATACAAAATTGAGTCCCATTGGCCCAAGGATGCTCCAGACTCAATTAGGATAAAATCCCTTAATCCCTACGGTAGAAGAAGGATATTAAAGGTTTTACCTCTATTTTCTATATTCGGCCCCGACCCTCTGCCCCCAGGGGGGCCACACCCACCGTTTATACAAAATTGAGTCCCCTTGGCCTAAGAATGCTCCAGACCAAATTTAGTCAAAATCTACTTGACCGTTCAGGACTAGTAGCGTTTTAAATGAAAAGTTGACGGACGGCCGGCTGGCCGGCCGGCCCACGGACGCTGCGGTATGACATAAGCTCACCATGGGCCATCGGACATGGTGAGCTAAAAATTGATCTTTAAAGCTAGTAAAAATCGAACATTAGTGACAGACTTTGGGCTTACAAAATAAATATATCTAATAACAAGAGGCCTAATTATAGGCATTTACAGTCACCCGAGTCCTACAGTATTAATTTTTGTTGTTGAAATATGAAGTGGAGATAATGATGTCAATCATCCCGACCAAAATTTGAGCAAAAAAAAAGGTATAACTTTAACCCTTAGGTTTCAAATCGGCCGATCGAGGCGCACTTGTCGTCTGCAGGTGGGGCCGAATTGAACATTGACATTGATACGTTTTGAGCCGATTGATTTCTTCAAACTATTTATCGATGATTTAATCATAAGCTAGACTGTAGCCAAGATATATCTATATGCCGACTGTGACAGTAAATATATTGAATGACGACCTGAAACCTGTAGCAAATCGCATGCAATTCTTGATGAAATACCTGACCTTTTTACCCGAGAATTTACGTGTAAATGTACAGCGACTTGTGTCATAAATTAGGTTTATAGTCTCTATCATTTTCCAATCACATTTGCTGACAAAAATAATTTTAAAAAGATTTTTCTGGTGATTTAATCCGATTAGTTAAAAGTTTCACCTTTTCTTACTTTTATTACCACCTGTACAGGTAAATACTAAAGCAACTTTAAAATCGAAAACGTTAATATAATCTAGAGATAATAACAAACAATTTTCCTATAACTTTTATTCACATATAACAAATATTTTTCAAGTTATGCACATTTGAAAAATTAAGTAAATTAATTTATATTTTAATAATTAATTCAGCAGTGGCGTCACTTTACATAGAAATCAATGTAGCAGCCTAAGGGTTAAGTACAGTTTGTCAGGACAATGAGTTGATCATTCCTACCAAGTATTGGATTTATGATTGACCCAAAAAATAACAACACTATGTCAAGAACATAAGTTTATCATTCCTACCAAGTTTCAGTTAAATTGGCCCAGAAGAACTTGACTTTAAGTTTGAAATAGTTTTTCAAAATGGCAGCCATGGCGGCCATATTGGATTTTCTGATCGACCTAAAAAATAACAACACTTTGTCAGGAACATAAGTTGATCATTCCTACCAAGTTTCAGTTAAATCGGCCAAGTTGAATCGGCAATGATGACCTTAACCTTGCTTACCTGAAACAAAAACTTGTTCAGGGTGATCTCAAGCTATATGAATTAAAAAACAAAACAATTGAACAAAATACAAAAAAAGAAGTCAATTGTAAAAGAAAAAAGTTGACAAATTAATTATTGGAATTCTATATTTTCTCTATCATCTTGTTGATAATGGTATCTTTCTAGAAATAAATCAATTTTAACTCTTTCAATTTCATGTGCTACACTTTCCACTGCTTCCTTCATCACTTTATCATCAGCACATGAAACAAGCACATAGCTGTTTCTAGAAAATTTTGGACAGGTCAAACTAAAATCGAGTCCTGTCTCTGATTGAAATCTTATGTTCCCTCTTTTTCCAAGTAACATTGCAATAATTCTGTCATGAATGTCCTCATCCTCATCTGTCCTCACCTTTTCTGTGAAGTGTATTATTATTTTCTTCTTGATTATTTCAATTTCTTGTGCTATTTTTTCAGCTGCTATCTTTGTCATTTCAGCATCAGTCCCAGAAACAAGCACATGGCCTCCATTTCTTGTGAAATTCAAACCTTCCAATTCAAAATCATGTCCCACCTCTAACTGACATTTTTTGATGTTCCCTCTTTCTTTTCCAAGTAACATTGCAACAATTCTGTTGTGAATGTCCTCATCCTCATCTGTCCTCACCTTTTCTGTGAAGGGCTGTATTTCTTTCTTGATTATTTCAATTTCTTGTGCTACTTTTTGTGCTGCTTTCTTTGTCATTTCAGCATCAGTCCCAAAAACAAGCACTTGGCCACCATTTCTTGTGAAATTCAAACCACGCAATTCAAAATCATGTCCCACCTCTAACTGAAATTTTTTGATGTTCCCTCCTCCTTTTCCAAGTAACTTTGCAACAATTCTGTTGTGAACGTCCTCATCCTCATCTGTCCTCACCTTTTCTGTGAAGGGCTTTATTTTTTTCTTGATTATTTCAATTTCTTGTGCTACTTTTTGTGCTGCTTTCTTTGTCATTTCAGCATCAGTCCCAAAAACAAGCACATGGCCTCCATTTCTTGTGAAATTCAAACCATCCAATTCAAAATCATGTCCCACCTCTAACTGAAATTTTTTGATGTTCCCTCCTCCTTTTCCAAGTAACATTGCAACAATTCTGTTGTGAATGTCCTCATCCTCATCTGTCCTCACCTTTTCTGTGAAGGGCTGTATTTTTTTCTTGATTATTTCAATTTCTTGTGCTACTTTTTTAGCTGCATTCTTTGTCATTTCAGCATCAGTCCCAGAAACAAGCACATGGCCTCTATTTCTTGTGAAATTCAAACCATCCAATTCAAAATCATGTCCCACCTCTAACTTACAATTTTTGATGTTCCCTCCTCCTTTTCCAAGTAACATTGCAACAATTCTGTTGTGAATGTCCTCATCCTCATCTGTCCTCACCTTTTCTGTGAAGGGCTTTATTTCTTTCTTGATTATTTCAATTTCTTGTGCTACTTTTTGTGCTGCTTTCTTTGTCATTTCAGCATCAGTCCCAGAAACAAGCACATGGCCACCTTTTCTTGATAATTTAGGAAAGGTCAAATTTAAATTGAGCCCCGTCTCTGATTGAATTTTTCTCATGTCCTTTCCTTCTCTTCTAATGAGCATTGCACAAATTCTGTAATGAATATCCTTATTCTCATTTGTCAACACTTTTTCTGTGAAGAACAGACAAGCGTTTTTAACTTGCTGAATTTCTTTTGCTTCTTTTTCTGCTGGTCTCTTTGCCACATCAGCATCAGTCCCTGAGGTAATGTGACTATATGGTGGAATGACATAGTCATCCTTAACTCTTTGGACTTCCTGCTTTACCTTTTCTGCTACTTGCTCCAAACCTTCCTTGTCATTCCCAGATATGACTATATGATCACCATTCAGTTTGATATTGAATCTGAATCCACACTCCAAGTAAAGTCTCTCCATGTAAAGTCCTCTGCCATTGAGATGTTGAGAAATTCTGGTATGTAAATCTGAATTAGTATCAGTTGACACCTGTAAGAAAAAAAAGTTTATTAACAGATATTATAGTTTCTATAGTTACATAAGAGATATTATAGCAAAGCACAAGAACAGAACAAGAGGCCCAATGGGCCTGTATTGCTCACCTAGTATTGATTTCACATTAAAAGTGGCTAAAATAAAACTACAGGCAGAATACTAGTATTTAAGTCATTCATAAGAACCCGTTAAAAGATTTCAACACATTTGACTCATGTGACCTTGAAAGTCTGACAAGGTCATTCAGTTGAACAAACTTTATAGCCGCTCATCTCAACATGCAACTTGCAAAATATTACCACCCTAGACTTTTTGTTTATTAAGATAAGGTCATTTAAACATGTATAAATGCTCATTTGACCAAATGTGACCTTGAAAGTTTGCAAATGTCATTCACATGAACACACTTGATAGCTCTTCATATAGTTGTCTAACAGAATGCTAGTCGATATTATGTTTACATTGAAAAAGTTTATTATATTGTTAACACTAAATAGTAAAGAAATTATACTGATCACAAGTGTTCTCAAGGTCTGTCAAAAAACAGTCAGGAGTGACATTTCTGACTGAGAAAATCAATAAATATTGATCTACATTTTGGGATGGTTTTCTGGTATCTGGATTTGCTATCCAGATAGTACTTGTAACCGAATCACAACCAGGTACTCAGTTACACATTCCAGCCCTAGAAATCAGATAATCCCTATCTACTCCATGGGTGAAAGCAGCAAGGATGTTGTCTGCAATGGCAGTGTCACAGAACATAGCAATTCCACAAAACAATAGGTCATTGCATGGTTAATTGAGATAGACCTACAGTAGTAAGGACATGTGCATGATCCAACTCACACAATATCCTGGAGAACTCACTGGTTCATTGGTACCTCCTCGAGCTCCATACTCCACAATTAGGGCAATAAGCAAGGGTCCATCATAATGAACAGAGGACAGAACATTACTTAGTAAAGAAGCTGTAGCGATCAGCTCTAATCTTCCCAGAGAAGCCCGAAGCTGTAATCCAGCAGTCCTGGTTCCTGGGGTGGGCCAGCGTACCTCTGGGGACATCAGGTTTACTGAGCCAATAGAGGTCATCCCTCAAGTTCCAAAGGAAGATGTTATCTGGAATGAAGTGGATAAAGATCCTGGGGAGGGCCAGATGCCAGTGAGGTTCTCAGAATAGTCATTGAATTATTTAAACAGCTTTTGCTCCTGGCGGGAGCTAACTGTCGACGTGGATGGTTTGAGGAGGACATGGACAGTATAGTACCACTGACATATATATCCAAGGCCCATATTCCTGGTCCTCAACAAAATATGCACATGCATACATGAACCACTTACAGTAGGACTGAAAATTGTAGGAGATGAGCTCCAGGCTGTACGACCAACATCTGCCCCGTTCCATCTGAAATTTATGTTCCCTCCATCATTAAATGTTTTAATCCACCTGTGATGTCATGATCAGATAACGACAAGGATGAAATGTATCACCAGGAGTTACATGTGGCATTTGGGTTAACCCAGGGAGGACAACAAAACAAGTCTGGGAACACAGTAGTGTCCCTCAGATCCATTGTGTTAATGATGTTGTAATCTGTGACTATGATATAGCACTCCATGGTAGGTACTATATGTACATATGAAACTTCAGAAAGATCCATCCAGTATTTCTGGAGATATTGTGAGAACAAACTTCAAATGTTAAAATCCCAAATGGCGGCCTGATGGCCATCTTGTTTTAATGAATACATCTTGATAGTAATGAACAGGCACTACAAGACAACTAGATGGAGACATTTCCCTTATTCAACTGACCCAACTGCCCCCATGGGGGCCAAACCCACTGTTTGTACAAACTTGGCCCGATGATGCTCCATACTAAATTGGAATAAAATCCCTTTATCCCTACGGAAGAAGAAGGATTTACATTTTTTTACCCCTATTTCCCCTATTGGGCCCCTCTCTACTGCCTGCCTCAAGGGGCAACACCAACCGTTATTACAAAATAGAGCGCCTTGGTCTAAGGATGCTTCAGCCCAAATTGTGCTGAAATCCCTCAGTCCCTATGGCAGAAGAAGGATGTAAAAGGTTTACCTCTAATTCCCCTATTCTGACCCACTCCTCTGCTCCCAGGGGGGCCAAACCCACCGTTAATACAAAATTGAGTCCCCTTGGCCAAAGGATGCCTCAGACAAAAATAAGATAAAATCCCTTATCCCTACACAAGAAAAAGGATTTTAAAAGTTTACCTATATTTTCCCTATTCTGACCCACTCCTCTGCAACCAAGGGGGCCACACCTACCTTTAACACAAAGTCTCCTTGGACCAAGGATGCTGCACACTAAATAAGGATAAAATCCCTTAATCCCTATGGAAGAAGAAGGATTTTAATTGTTTTACCTCTTATTTCCCTATTGGGCCCCTATCCTCTTCCCCTAGGGGGCCACACCCACCGGTTATACAAAATTGAGTCCCCTTGGCATAAGAATGTTCCAGACATGTAATTGGGATGAAATCCCTAAATTCCTATGCTAGAAAAAGGATTTTAAAAGGTTTACCTCTATTTCCCCTATTGGGGCCCCCTCTTCTTCCCCCAGGGGGGCCACATCCACCCTTTATACAAATCTAAGTCCCCATGGCCCAATGCAAGGATGCTTCAGACTAAATTAGAGTAAAATCCATTTATACCCACACTAGAATAAGGATTTCAAAGGTTTACCTCTATTTCCCCTATTGGGCCCCGCTCCTCTGCCTCCAGGGGGGCCACACCAACCTTTAATAAAAAATTGAGTCCCCTTAGCCCCAGGATGCTACGGACTAAATTAATTTAAAATCCACAAAAGTTGACGGACGGACGAGCTAAAAATGACTTAAAATGCACTTTGAAATTGTTTTATCTCCTGAGTCACTTGCGGTAAAATCAATCAAACGCAGGGGAATGTCAAAGCGGCCAGGACACTGTTTGAGGGAAGCGATTCCTGAGGCTATGGTGGGAAGTTCTGCCAAAGATGGGGGAATGCCATCACAGACTTAGCCTGGCCGCTGTGGCTCTACTATCGCCGAGTAATCAGAGAGTGCCAGTACCAACCTGGGTGGGCTACTCACCCACACAGGAAGGCAGACTAGAGCCCCCTAAAACTGGACTTGGCTGGTGTGGGGGATGAACTAAACAATGTCTACATGGTAGATCATTTACACAGAACTAATGTGTTTTTAGGTCTAGGAATAAGAGCAAGAAAAGTAAAATCCTTTCATATTTTTGTGACTAAGGTAACTGGGATCACATGGTACATTACGTCGGGAGACAGCTATTAATTAGTGAGCTCTATATTTATTAAGTCTGCTAAATAATGGAGATTCAGGAAGTGGGGATTTTCTGATCCCTGGCCAACCTCAGTCTGTCTTCAGCTTCAAGGCATGCCAAAACAAACAAGAGGCCCAAGGGCCTTAGCGGTCACCTGAGTTATATCATAGGTACTGGTAGCTTTAGTTTATCGTTTAGATGTGATGTGGAAATCAGCATATAAACTAAGTGAAATAAAATACTTATCATGTCATCAAAGGATAAGAATTTTAAAATATTGGTAAATGTTCCCTTTGGGGCACCACCCTAGACCCTGGGGATGGGGCAGGAATTCCAATTTTACAATGTAATACCCCCATCCACAAAAGATGATTCTGACCAAGTTTGAATAATTTTCTGCTGAAAACGGATAAAATATACCCAAAAGTGTTGTTTCCCTGTATAAACTATAGTAAACGTTACCCCCTCCCCAAGAGAGAACTGATAGCTCGGGGGTCCTGAAATCTACAATTTACTGTAGTACCTCTGAGTCTGGAAAAGAAGATTTTTGAAATATTAGTTAATTTTCCCTTTGGAGACCCACCCTGGCCCCAGGGGTTGGGGTGGGAATCCCAAATTTACAATTTTGTAACCTCATCTACCAAGGATGATTCCGACCAAGTTTGAAAAAATTCCATTAACTGGTTCTTGAGAAGAAGTTTAAATGTAAAAAGTTTACGCACGAAGGATGACCCACAACAATGGACTTAAGTGATCGGAATAGGTCATTTGAGCAAAACTCAGGTGACCTAAAAAGAGGCCTGATAAAGAGGGTCTAGTAAGAGGCAGTTTCTGCATCTGACGCAACCTCTGGGCGTCTAGAGACAAAGCAGTTATCTGTTCAACCCTCTCTGAAAACTTTGAGGGAGGATTGGCACCTTGAGTGGTTGTCTGCTCAGGGGTAAGATTGTGTTATCGAGAACGTGTCACAGATACAAGTGGAGGGCAATCTTTCACTTTTCAAACTTCAAACACAGTATTTCTGATGGAGAGCCTGTTGAGGGCACAGTATGTCTGAGCCTCACCATGAAATAGGTCAAAGTCATTTTCATTCTCAAACTTTGTCAGGGTCTATCTAACGAAGCCACAAGGCAAATATGAAGGTTCTACACCTTTAAGTTCTTCAGAAGTCGCTTAAAGATTTTGGCATATTTGACCACTGTGACCTTGAAAGTAGGCCAAGGTCAATTTCATTCTCAATCTTTGTTGGGCTCTAACCAACGAAGCTGTCAGCTAAATATCATGGCTCTAGGCCTGTTCGTTCTTCTTCAGAAGTTGTTTAAAGAAAAAGTTGACGGACGCCGCACCATATCGGTAGAAAACTGTTGGATGACTGTCATAGACAAAATTGTACACAATCTACTAATGGAAACAAAAAACTAGCAAACAATTCTTAACAAATTTTTCCAATCAGAAGTAGCTGTCATATGTTTCCGTTTATTTTGATTTAGTGTGAACTTGAATACACTAAATAGAAATTCTCCATAGTGGCCTGCACAGAAAAAGCTTCGTTTGGAATAATAAAATTATCCTTGATCGTCAAATTAATTATCAAAGGCCTTCGACAGTATTCCTCACGGGCTGCTGCTTGAGAAGCTGACTGCTTATATTATGGGTTGGACGAGGCCGCAGTCGGTCTCATCATGATCAGTAGAGCTCTATCTCGGGGGCAGATTTCAGCGGACTAGGCTGGGGTCCAATGTCTCTGACTGGGAGCAGTTGGAGAGGGGTGTACCTTAGGGATCTATTTTAGGACCTTTAATTTTTAATATTTTTATAAATGACATCTTTTATTATGTTCATAATGGTACCCTTTATAATTATGCTGATGATAACACACTGTCGCATATTGACTCTGAACCTGTTCAATTAAAGAATACACTACAAGGGGATAGTAATATTTTAATCAAATGGTTCGAGGATAATGGTATGAAGGCCATTCCTGACGAATTGCAGACTATATCCATTGGGAAGAAAACTCACAATATTATATTTTCCTATACTGTTAAAGGGGCATCACGGTGAAGTAACTTTTTTTTGTGTCTTTTTTTCAAATACTTTACATAAACATATCAATTGAGACTCCTTATGGAAAATAACAATCGTATTTGGCTGAAAAAGATTCATAAAAATGATTAAATCTAAGATAATCATCAGTATTTCTACCTGTCTGACCTACGTTTTGTTCAGGGATTCCCCTCTACTAGCGCATGTGCATAGCACACCATTGCTTTGTAAACAAAATGACTGGTCGTGTGAAGTAAGCGAAAGAAAAGTGTTGTACCGTGTCAGCTACGAAGCGAAAAGTTGCCAAATGGTCAAAAGATAGCGCAAGGAGTACGTTACGGAATCATTATTGCAGGTGGGAAGTAATTCAAAGGAGAAAATTACTGCCCTAGCAGTTAGTATTGTGCATGTATTCTTCCGGATAGCCGGTTAATTATAAGCTGAAATGGAATCGACAGAAATGCTAGCGCTGTTTATGTTATGAATACATATCTTTGTCAGTGTTTTAACACAGATGAACTTAGTTTAATATGTTAATGGGCATTTATCGGAGAGAGTTTACTTTGAGTTCTGTCAATAATGAATATTTACATTGTATACGTCGTAGTTACCAATAATGGCATGACAGTAATACAAAAAAATACCTATAATATGCTTTAAATAATCAGAACTTCAGGCTCCTATGGTTTGTCAAATATTGCTGTAACAAATTCCCATGTCCCTGTGTCCACTACATGAATGATCATGCCCTTCATGCTTACCTTTGCAGTATATAACGCCTTGTCTTCTCCGTCGTTTGTTAGATAAGAGCATGGCCTTGAAAGACTTTGTGGTAAAAAGGGATTGAAATTTTGGAACATGCATTTTGTATCTCTACTCGCAACCTGATGTCGAAAGGCGATCAATCTGTAACAGCTTCTTCTAATGAAGGCTGCCATTTTGTGATACTACTAGCATGCTAGTCTCGTTCAACCAGACGCTTGATCACTTGTAAAACGAAACTATCATGCATTGACGAGACATCACATGTCTTGATACGTTACGTTAATTTCCCCCTTTTATTTATTTTTTCTTCGTTGGACTTCTTGGCTCATTTTGATTTTATTTTCAATTTATTTAACACTTAATATTAGAAATATTGATAAAAATGTGCATTTAAATGAGCCATCCATATACCTGTCTCAGCATAAAAAAATACTTGTGACGTATAGACACACTGTTTAATTTTGTGTAAATGGTTTTAAGTTTAAAAATTGATAATTATATCAACATTTTCAACATAATTGTGTTCTATTTGTGTACCGAATTTTTGGAAATTGGTTAGTCCTCTTTTCCCTCTTCTTTTTTGTTAATTCTATCTAGAGAATGTGAAATTGTGGCACATATGAAGCTGCAGTAGAACAAATCATTATATCATACTGTAAAAGGAACCGAATTGTAAAATGGAATACTTTGAAGGCATGTCACTGTTGAAAAGAAGACAACGAAATTAAATAAAATTAACGTTTTAATATATATAAACAAGCAAATAAAACAATACATATATGAGATGCATGTTAAAAATAAAATTATACGAACAAATATTAAATTAGAAATATAAAGATTGCATTAGAAATATAAACATTACATTAGAAATAAAAACATTACATTAGAAATATAATATGGACATTTTCGTAAAATATATGTAAATCTATATATATTCCGAAAGCATCAGCTACACATTGCGTGCACCCAGGGCTTGGGATCGCGGACCCTAGCTGCTTTCTCAAGCCCCATTTTGTTTTTATTTATGTCATAAAATAATTTTTTAAATAAATACACAGATCTTCACTTTAAAAAAAGTGCACCTGACGTGTTGAGAAGCTGTGAATTAAATTTAAATATACTTATCGATACAAATCAAATAATCACATTGACTAAATATAAAGAAACAGGTGCACCCGACGAGATTTTGTGGTCCGTTTCGGTAACACACAGTGATCAAACGCATATTGAATACCCTTTAAGATACCTTCATATGGTTTGTTTTTAATAGAATATGTTTAACCTAAAATACGTTTCTTTTCGGCTCAGTTTTGGTTCTGTTCTGTTCGTTTTTAAACAGTCACACACATTTAATGCATTATTCAAAAGTGTTTTAATTCGCTTTAAATAACATAATGTATTTCTTCTCGGTTACGTTCTTGATGCTGTTTTGTCCGTTTCGGTCACACACCATATTCAAATGTATTTGATACCCTTTAAAAAAACGTGGTGTATCTTTTCTTGTTTCGTTTTTGGTCCGTTTTGGCCAAACGCAGTGATCAAATGTATAATGCATGAATACCCTTTAAAATAACTGCATATATTTGTTTATAGCGACATGTGCGACATCTGTCAGAGGGCAGTACACAAAGGTAAATTTACTTCATGTAAACCTACCTTCCAAACAGTATCAAACGCTTTTCTGAAATCAATGAATGAACAGAATAGCTTTTTACTTTTTGAAAAGTATATAGATATTAAATCATGAAGGATAAATATATTTTCAGTTGTAGAGTAAACCAGCTTGAACATTGGAAATTAGATCAATTTCTTCTGAAAGTCTATTTAATCTAGAGTTCAAAATAGCAGTAAATACTTTGCCAAGACATGAGACTAATGTAATAGCTCGATACTTATCGAGATTTTTTGGGTACTCACCCTTCTTTTTGTCAATGGGTTTTATTACTCCAATTGTCCATGCTTCTGGTACACAGCCAGAGTTCAATATAACATTAAAAAGTTTAACATATAAAAAGTTTAACATATATAGGTAGTAGTATAGACTGTGTATTTTTTATAAGCTCATTTAATATATTATCGATACCCGGCGCTTTATTATCACGAAGGTTAACTATAACCTGTCTAATTTCATTTTCAGTCACGTCACTATTTAGTATAAAATCAAACATTTTAGGTAGGATCATCCCCTAAATATATATATAATATACAAACACATGTAAATGTTTAAAACAATATTTGGTTAACAGTAATCTGACTGGCTGGAAAAACATCAATCAACACTTTCATAAACTGTGTCCATCACATTCCATAAAGCTGTATTCTGTAGGTCCACTCGTAACCGTTCCGTGTTCTCAAAGCCCTTCCTCCATACCAGCCAGATCAGATACACAATTATTCAAAATTATGNGGTTAGGGGGTGGGGAGTGCTCAAAAATGTCAAAACCTGCCAATACCGTCGATATAGACTTGAACCGTTCTTTTAAATCTATATCACCTTTTAGAATTAGGTCTAATGACATATCTCCTGGATACCATTCTAAATCCTGCAATAAGGAAAGAAGTCGGATGTGGTATTTAGGGCATGGGAAGAAGAAGTGATACGAGTCCTCGCACGTGTGTCCACATTCACATCGTGCTGAAAAAGTAAGATTAGCTCTAAAAAGATCATAATTGAGAGTACTTGCCCTGTTTCTTAATCTACAATGAAGAATATTTAGCCTAGGCGGACCAAAATTGAGAAAGCAGGGATTACATTTAGTTATTACATTATTCAACTTATGTATATTTGATTTGAACGAGTTCAGAGTTTGAGAGTGTCTTATGGTTGTGTCTAAATTTTTCCAAAGATCAACAGTTGATGGAAAGAAAGAGTTGCGCATAGTTTGGAGTCTATACCGTTGCTGCCGTAATTGCTGAGAATTTCTTAAGTTATAATGAGTCAGAACTCCAATATTTTGAGGTAGGGTATTACATAAGTATGAGGGTGCAGTGCCATGTTTTATAGTTTTCTGATTTCTCTTCGTATTGACAATGGAAGCTACCAAATTTCTGCATATAACAATTCGTTTTTTGTGTACATTGGTAATCCTGTGACAATACGGGCCGCATCTAGTTGTAGTTTTTCAAGATTATTTGAATTGATAGCACCACAGTTATCCCATACTTCACAGCCATACTCTAAAATTGGTCTAATATATGTTAAATACAATTTCTCTAAGTTATCCCTATTAAGTATAAATTTCAATTTGCGAAGTGTCGCTGTGTATTTTGATACTTTCTTGATAATTTCATCTATATGTTTGGACCACTTGGCATCACTTCTTGGTAATACACATAGGTGTTTATGTTGATCGGTAATTTCAATAGGGATGTTATTGAACGTAAACAGGGGTTGATAGGGTAGATTTGAAAAGGATACTAACATAATTTCCGTCTTCTTAGGATTTAACGACATTAGCCAATCTTTTGACCATTTTTCTAGAGTTTGTAAATCGTTGTTTACCGCATGTACAACATCATCTAGAGTTTGTGAAGAGTATGATAATGACGTGTCGTCGGCGAAGAGACGAGACAATGATGCGAGTTCAATAGATATATCATTTATATAAACGAGGAAAAAGAGAGGCCCTAGAACAGATCCTTGAGGGACACCAGCATTGACTATTTTTAAGGACGAGTTAGAACTATTTACATAGACAGACTGTTTTCTGCATGACAAATACTTAGTTATCCAATTAAGTATATTTCCTGACAGTCCATGTTGTTTCAGTTTGTAAATAAGACCTTTATGCCAAACTCTATCGAAGGCTTTAGAAAAGACACAGAAAAAAAATGCTACATGTTCATGATTTTCTAAGGATAAAAGCATAGAGTGGTAGAGTTCTATAAGTTTATGAGTACAAGAGTGATTTGGTAGGAATCCTGATTGTGATTTATATATTAGATTGTTTTGATTGAAACAATTGTATATATGTTTGTAGTCTACACGCTCAAATATTTTACTCACACAACTTAACAACGATATTGGTCTATAATTAAATACACCATGCTTGTCACTAGCTTTGAAAATAGGTACAACATTAGCGAGTTTCCATTTTTCAGGATATATACATGTTCGCAGGGACACATTGAATATAATAGTAAGAGGTGAAGCAATTTCTTTACATATGAATTTAAGCATTCTATGGCTTATTCCGTCAGGTCCGGATGCTTTATTTATATTTAGAATACATAACATATCTTCAACTTCAAAAGGTGTAATAGTGTCGCAAAGTGTGGACTCGGTTTGGCTATCAATCCTAGATACCTGTTTTACCCTGGTCGTTAAGTGTGGAAATGGACGTGAAATAATTATTAAGTAATTCGCATTTTTGTGTGTCGTCTGTGATATAGTCAGAAGAATTTTCGTCATAAAGTGGTGATATTTCAGTGTTTTTGTTTCCTTTAAGTAAAAGTTTAAGTGACTTCCAATATGTTTGAGGATCTGATTTAGATCTAACAATAAGGTTATCAATATTTTCAAAGAACAATTCTTTAGCACGCTTAATCATGTTGTTAACTTTGTTTCTTACTTTCTTGTATTTTAATACATTATGATTATTATTTTGTTTTATCATTGCCCTTTTTAATCTGTTTCTTATACGTACTTGCTTTCTAACATTATTGTTAAACCACGGTTTGTCATGTTTGCGTATTTGGACCATCTTTGAAGGTATACAAGTATCTATAGCAGTCATAATGCTGGTAGTTAAAAAGTCACACATACCATTTACATATGTACACGAATCAAAATGTTCTTGCCATGATATATCCTTAATGATCGTCTTTAACTTTACAATATCGGCTTGGTCGTATTTTCTATATTTCTTGTTACATCAATAACTGCGAAGACTGCTTTGTGATCACTTATAGAGTTGTCTATATCAATTACTTCAGAAAGGATTGTAGAAATATTATCACTAACAATAATTGAACCAATTAAGCTAGACGAATATTCTGCACTTCTGGTAGGTTCTGATATAATATTAGTGAGGTTAAAGGATATGAGTACGTTGTATAGTCCACCCCG